CTACAAAAATTAAAAAATGAACCCACAAAGGTGGACCACTCAGACATTTCACACAAATCTGAAAAAACAATGTAAATCTGAGGGTCAGTCTTATGGGTTCCCTTATCTGGACTATAGTCCCCAGTGACTCAATCACACATTCACCTAGGTGTTACAGTGAAGGTTCTCTGTAGATGTGATTGAAGTCCCTAATCAGTTGACGTAATCATAATCCTCCATCATCTGGGTAGGTCTGATTCAATCTGATGAAAGCACTCTAGACACCAGAGGGTCTTTTGACTTAGATGTGGTGGCCTTATTTTCAGAGCAGACTCAACTTGACTCCAAGACAGTGACCACAGCTTGACTGACATTTCCTGTAGATCCAGCCTTGGGATGGGGCTAGCAGATGCCTCTTCTCACCTCCTTTCTTCCCCTGCACCACTTCACAGAGGTGTCTAGGTACTGAGCACGTGGTCCTGAGGGTCTTCTGCCCCAGGCCTGTAGCTGCAGTCCTGCAGGGAGGGAGGGGCAGAAACGTTGGGCTCCTTATGCTGGCCACCCCCTGGCCATTGGGGGACACAGAGCTGGTGACCCATAGCCCCCATGGCAGTCCTCTCCTCTCTCGCCCTTCTGCTGTCCTCTTCTACCCTGATGCTGCCTTTACCTTCTCTTTGAATCTGTTGACCACAGTATATCTCCCGTTGGTCAAAGCCACCAAAATGCATCCTCTGTCCACTGACATCTGGGCTTACAAGTACACGGTCCCTTCTCACCACTTTCAGGAGGCCAGAACAGGTCTTCTGGAGAGAGGGATGGGGTGTTGGGGAGAGAACAGAGAGCAGAATAGGAGTTTACAGATGTGCTGTTCAGTACAGGCTCGCAGAGATCCACGCCACACAGGTGTTCCAGCAGGCCTGGGGCTAGATAATTNGTACAGGCTCGCAGAGATCCACGCCACACAGGTGTTCCAGCAGGCCTGGGGCTAGATAATTCCCCCTCAAACTTTACCGCAAGCCCATGGTCAGAGCCTCTGCTGTACCACGCTGCATCACCTCTGCTGTCACGGTACAGCCTGGAGGACCCTAGGCTCCCAGCTCTGCAGACCAACAGCCCTGCCTCCCACGCACACTGCCTGCTCCTGCACACGCGCTGCACAGGCCCTGGGACCTCATGCTAGATAGGAATCCACACTTATGCCCCGTGGGATGGAAATGTGGGGATGTGTGATCTTTATTTCTCTGGTAGTAATAGATATTGTTTGAATAAAATGAAGGGTTTGAGTTTGATGGATGGTCTCTAAAGTTCTTTTTAGCATTCATTTTTGAGTTCTAAAAATCTTTAACACTATGATGCCAGTGCTGGAGTTTACTTAGTGGTAAGTTGTGGCTGCTTAATTTAGATCATATTTTATTCAGTGCATGATTTTGTGAGTCTAGCCTCTCATATCTTTACAATGCTTCTAAAAAGATGGAAATACTATACCCAAACTAGATACACTTGATTAATAAGGCTTTGAAAATAATGTTAGTGTTTTTTTCAGAATGCATTTTGCTTGCAAGAAAACAGAAATATTCTAATGAGAGTAAAATTGAATTGGGAAAAATCGATTTTTCTCTGGGCCATTTTGGAAGCCCATTGGTTAGGGCCTTTCAGTGAGTAAATTAGTTTAATATGTGTATAGACATAATTCTCTGAGTTGGGTGTTTGGTTGTTGTGGTCTAATTATAATAATTCCACAGGTTCAAATTCCCTTTTTTGCAAGTAAAACAATAAAATGAAACATATGTAAGTTTTTAAATAGGAATCTCCTGGACAAAAGAACAGGCCACCAAATCTAGTTTTTGCTTTTTTTCCTGAGTGTTTTGGACTGTAAAACAAGAGCGTCTTCCAAAATCTCACTAGTTGAAGCCTTGGGTGGTTGGGAAGTGAAGGCCAGGAGAAATGTTCCAGTGAATTTTGCTCTCCTGAAGCTGTGGGATGACTCAGCCCTTCTGACTCATGTTCCACATTCTCGACTTACCCGGGGCCTTAGTGCACTTCATTTCTGTTCCTACGCATCATAGGCTGGAAAGGTCAGGAGTGAACCAAGAAAAAAGAGACCATAGTAGCATCAGTGGTGAAGATTTTCCCAACCTCAAGGACACTCAAGAATAGAGTATTCATGGGTTTTTAAATTTTTTCTTGTGGCCTGCCTTTAGTCTGTTCAGGCAGCTATAACAAAATACTGTAAGCTGGC